AGAAATTGAACGAATATCAATTTTTTGATTAAACAAAATGAAAAATGTTTGATTTTGTTTTAATGAAAACCATCAAACATTCCCCATATAAATATAATGCAATATTTGAAACTTTAGATTATACCAGGACCCTGTTGCACCAACACTTTTCACTTTGCACTTTGCAAAACTTATGAGTGACTTTTTTTTGCAAAGTAAAAGTGAAAAGCGTTGCACCAAAGACTTAACATGATTTACTTTGCACTTTGCAAATAAAAATTTCATTGCAAAGTCTTTGCATAAAATGCAAAGCAAAGCGTTGCACCAAAAAATTAGATCACTTTCATTTTGTATTGATTTTTGAAAGCATTTCGTTTCTGTTTGTTTATTTTTTTTGTTTGTTTCATATTTTGATGCTATGAGTACATGATTTATGCATAGTATGTACTTATGAGTTTAATTTTTGTTTAAAATAATATTTTATTTTAATAAATTTTATTATTATAATTTGTAATATTTGATAATTTTAATACAATTATATGTTATACATTAATACAAAATATAAATTTTTTGTATATGATTTCTTTTATTGACATTAAATCGTAGAGAAAGAAGTTGTGTATATCCATATATATTGTGTATATCCATTAAAAGCATTTTTATGCTTTTAATTTTTTTTGCAGTTTGAAAAGTTATAAAAAAAGAATTTAAATGTAAAGAGTATGAGTATGAGTTGTTTTAACAACAATTATATTGAAAAACAAAGTTAAAAAATATAATGTTGCTTTTATATAAAAATTTAGTTGAAAATCTGTCATTATTATTTAATTTTAAAATATTATAAGTTATTAAAATATTGTTTACTTGTCGCTGTGTATTATCCTAATACAAAAGAAACCTACGCATAAAGGGCCTAAATTACTGATTTTATTTAGAATATTTCTCTCAATTTATACAAAATTACCTTAAAACAAACTTAACTAATTTTACTAATTTTAGTGGACTGTATTATTTTTAATTACATTTCAAACAAGGTTCAAAAAACAACGCAAGTCCAGGCACTTGTGATTTTTTCTTCTATTGTCTTTAGAAATATATTTTTATTATCATAATTAGATACGGATAATTAGATATTTAAAAATGTTACAATGTTAGCTATTATATGATATTTTTTACCCATGTTTTTTCTTAGTTCATAATTCGGAGAATTTGAACGATAACAGACTTATAATAATAATAAACTGATCGTTATAATAAGTGTTCATGCTTGAACAATAATTCACATAAAATATTTATATTAAATGTATTATAAAGTTTTTTTTAGAAACTGAACTCTTTAATTCACATTTTCAAAGTATTGTCCGGTAATATATCCCTTTAATTACTGCAACTAAATTTATTTCAAAAACAGCAATAATATTTGCTTAAACTAATTTTCTATTTCTATTTTTTTAAAACTATTTTTATTTATTTATTAATGATTTCTTTCATTTTACGTATTTTGTCTTTTATTAATATACATAAGAAACTTATCTTGTGTGTAAAGCAATCATTTGCAAAATTTGCAGGGTGAATTAATCATTTGCAATTTTTTTGTAAAGTATTGCAGTTTACTTTTGCAAAGCGCAAAGTAAAAAGTATTTGTGCAACAGAAAGTGCAAAGAAACCAGTTTTTGGCAAATATTTCACTTTTCTTTTCATACTTTACTTTTCATTGAAAAGTACATTGGTGCAACCAAAGAGTATATATACATAGAGTGTGCATCACTCAAAAAATCTTAAAAATGAAGTGATGGCAATTTCACAAAAATCGGTCGCAGAAATCGGGGAAATAGTATTTGAGTTATTTTTGTGTCACATGGACTCGTTGTGACTCAATTTTTAATTTTTCAGCTTTAACATGCGGGAGAGTTTGGAGTGTTTAAGCATTTTATACTTAATAAGTTTTAAAGAAATTTGTATTGCTTTTCTGCGCTCTGAACTACAGTTGTTGGTATTTTTATGTAGAAAGGTGCATTTAACAATTGAGAAATCAAAAACAGCAACTAATGAAAATATCAAAGCAAGAAATGTCTGCAAAAATACCAAAAAACTTATTTTTAGTCCACAATCCGTTTTTTTTCTTCATTATTATATAGAATTTTCTGTAAAACCGAAATTTTTATTTTCAAGTTTAACTGAAACACATTTGTATAGAAGTAAAGAGCACAGTATATTTTGTAAATTATTGTTTGTTATTCGCAATTTTATGAAATTTTGGCAAAATTGAGATTTCGTACAATTTTGGCGAAATTTGAACCCTTATAATTTTATATCTACTAATTGAAAAATTATTATTTTTTATATTTTTTACAGCTTAGGATATTGTTACCATTTTTAAATAAAAACATGTTTAAATTTTATTAACAGTTAAATTTAAAAGTGAAAATTTGCAAAAATCCCTCGTGTTTTTACGACTTTTTTCACTACAATCTAATACAATCGATACCCAAAAAATGTATACAAGTTTTCCATAAAATTTTTTCACTAATGCTAATGCCTAATGCTTAAGGATCACAAAAATTTGCTGTTCTCAGTCTATGTTTTGTATATATTTCAGATCTCAGAAATTACTGAATAATTATGCAAAATATGAGCTTCAGTAAACTTCATAAAGTTTAACAAAAAATTCAATAAGTAATAATATAAGGACAGTTATTATATTATAAATATTGCTTACGATGGCGACTATGATAATATAAGTGCAAACTACCTGTTCTTGTTGCGCTATAGACCACCCCGCTAATCCTTCTTTTATGCGGTTTTGTTTTTAATTTTAATAGTTTATTGTTTTTTATTATTAAGTTATTTTTATTTTATTGCTTATTATTTATTGTAAAGGTTTTTAAAAAACAACATATTTAGGTAAAAAATTGCACCATATATAAATGGTGACTTATAATATCATATACATACGCTAAAAAAGTAGCCAACTATGAAAAAAGTGAGGATAATGATAACAAGTGCCTTGATGATGTGCTTTCTTCTTCTTTGATAGAACTCTATGAAAATAACTCTAGGGTGTCTAGTAACTGTGCAGTAGAAGCCTACTCTGATCTAGAGTGCAATGACATCGAAAATTGCATTATATCAGATGCATTTTCCAATTCAAAGAACATAAATATTGATTTATTGTCTTTAAGATACACAATAGGGTACGTAGCTAAAAAATACTTTCAAAACGAAAGTATTCTTAGAATTAATTAAATTGTAATATTGTAAATATTAGTAAAATAATAAAGAACAAAACATATAAAATAGTTTAATAAACGAAATATAAACATATTTAAATATACATACAAATTAAAGAAAACGAACATAATATAAAATGCATATATGTATATACATATGTTTTCATATCCAAAAGAGCATATTTATAACCAAAAGAGCGGTTGAGTGTGATAATGTGCACATATCAATGAAAATGCAGTCTCTTTGCACACATATAGTAAAAGGACTCAAATATTGAGTAATTCCGGGGTTTTTAAAAAACCAGTAGAACAAAATTTTTGTGACTGATATTTTGTTCGACATGCACACTCTATGTGTATATACTCTTTGGTGCAACGCTTTGCATTTTTTGAGTGTTCTCAAAACTTTGCATAACTCAATTCTCAAATTAATGCTTTATGTTCTCAATAAGAGAAAAATGCTCAAAAACTCATAAAAATTTGCAAAGTGCAAAGTGAAAAATGTTGGTGCAACAGGGCCCAGTTTACAAATAATAAAATATTTTGTTTTTCAAAGAGATCTACATTTTCTATAACAAATTTTCTGGAGAATTCAGAAATCATAATGTGATGGACTCCCAAAGAAATAATTAAAAAAAATGTTTTTTTGATTAATGCTAAAGGCAGTTTTAATACAAGCATTTTGGACTGCAATTCAAAACTATATTATTGAAAAATTAACCTTTCCCTTGTTCATCAGTTTCTCCATGGAGATTTGAAGAGAAAAAAATACACATGTGAGTACAAGAAATGCATCTTTCGAGACATATTTGCCTTAATAACTTCATAATTGTCAATTAAAAATAAAATTATTTCTCTATAATGTGGATCTCTTTCGTTACCTAAGGAGCCGAAAACTACTAAACGAATTTCATGCTTTTAACTCTTCTGTATTCAACACATTATTATATTTTTCATCCTTCATCAGTTTTTTGATTTGTGGTCCAACAAAGATACCTTCGATTTCGTTTTTCTACAGGGCTTTAACAAAATTTTTCGTTAGGTCAAGTTTTATATGCAAGGTTGGTAAAACTGTCTGACACGATTCAATGAAAGCTTCAATTGCAATATTTTGACTTTACTTCCTATTAGCTATCTTTTTTGGCCAAGATGACCGTATAAAATGACCTATTATTTCTCTGCTATCCCATAGGCATAAAAAACAACAAAGTTTTCGAAAAAATTATTTTTCTATACTGGCTTGTCTTGTTAATAAAACACCACTATTTTACGCTAATTCGGAAACTGGCGTATAACTTCTGAAATTTTTATTGAATATTTATGTCTATCCATTTAAAACGTTTCTGTTAAAACAGTCTTTAATATCAATAAAAAAAATTTTTTCTTTAATATTGAAAATCGAGAAAGTTGAAAAGATCGTAAAAAAAATTTTTTTGTACATATTTAAATATAGCAGCTAAACCAATTAAGTTTTATTGACGTTATGTTGTTCAAATTTCCCCTATGATCTAATATACAATACTATATAAGATAACTTCATATCAAAGTCTAATTAATATAAAGGAGATACATATTTTTAATCATACCTGTTAAAGTTTAATGTTGTTTCCTTAGAACATAAATTACTTAGCTCAGGAATATATTTTCCTTTAATATATTTTTATGGAGTATAAGTATAACATAATAAGGATATGTGGGGTTAAATAGTTCGTTTCAAAAAAAGAACTATTTAAATCAAAATAGAATTCATATTAGGATTTTAATTTGATAATTATGAATGAAATTACTTACATTTTTCTCTATTTCATCAGGTTTTGTAATTCTTTTTTTCCAATTATCTTCTCCACTTTTTTGTAAGGCTGCTAAGCGATCTGCAATCGATCCACTTTTTGATAAAGAAATTTTACATTGATCGGGCCCCATTACCTAAAATAGTTCAACCAATTTTAGTAGAATATTTGAATGTAAAGTCATACACATATAATATACCTGTTTACTACAATTATAATTATGACTATTTATGGAAGAATTTCTTTGAAGGGTAGATGTGCAATTTTTATCAGTTAGAAATATTAATTTTTGTTCTACTTCTGTAGGTGAACATTCGCCTTTTCTATAGCTTTGGCTATTATGATTGCTAATGTTTACATTGTTTTTGCATATATTTGTCAAGGACTCATGATTTTTGAAATCAGGTTGGTGGTTTTCTGACACATTATAATCCAGTGCAGAGGCATTTTTACATATTGTTGAAGGGAAAGCAGATTGACTTTTACTTTTTAAAAAACTGCATCTGTAAAAACACAAAATTAAACCAAATCAATCGTATTATATATTATAATTTTGCAGATTTACAGACATTAAAATTCTATATTAAAATTAATGCAATTTGAGCTCAAGTAGCACTCACACTTATAAATTAATAATGGTCTTCTTGTTATATCATAGAGAAAATTTCCAGAAATAATAAAATATAATTTGTATTCATTGAACATTAGCAATTATGTTTAAAACTTACGACCGAATATAAATGTTAATGAGACTATATAATATATAAAAATATTTGCATTTTCATAAGACAACACTGATAAGATCAGTGGCGTATTTAGGGGCAGGCAGGCAAAAACGATAAAATCTCCGTAGACAATACAATCTAAAGATTTCAAAAACTATGTAATTCTGACATATTTTTGTGTTTAAATTTTAGTACTAATACTCAAACATTTGATAATGAAACATTAGAAATATTGAAAAAGAATTCAAAATTTCAAAAATATCTCTGGGCTATTTTTGAGCAAAAAATGTGTTTAAATAGAACTCTTGAAATTGAAAATAACACCAATAAGAATATTAGTTTTTTCATGTACATAATTATATATACATGTATGTGTATGCAAATACACAATCATGGCTACACAATCATAATTGAACGACTTTCGTTTTTTACAATACAATATACCAATTTTACTCAAAATGTGAACATTTTCTTTAAAAATATAATATCTGTACATTAATAATTACAAATTAATAAGACTAAGATGATTAAATTGTACAAAAATTTACGCAAACATTTAAACGTGACTGTCTTCTAAAATAGAATAAAAACAAATTTTTAAAACTGTAGTTATATGTTATACTAAACATATCTAATTAAAAAAAATTAATCAAAAATTTATTGAAATAACATAAACAATTTTTTTTCAACATTTTATTTTTTTTAAATGTGTAAACGAACTCATGCATTGTTATAATTCACATTAAATATTTACCTCTTAAATTAAATCATCAATTTTTTCTAAGATGTATAAATATATATATATATATATATATATATATTGTATTCAGTAGATTCGTATGGTTTGAAATTCACAAATTTTATATTTGATTAATTTTTCTTTTTTGTACAGGTTAATATGTTTATATTTATAACGAAGATTTTGGTTATAAATGCGCAAAATACAAAATATATAAATATAAACGCATAAATCAGAGACGATAACATAACGATTCATCTAAATTTAAATAAACTTATATATGTGATATGTGTTTGCATAAAAACAAATGGATATACAGTCGGTTATTCAGGTATTTTATTAATTATTGAAATATTTAAATAAAATATATCAAATTTTAAATTAAAATAATATACTCTACTTTCAATTGGTATATTTATATTTACAGTATTCATGTTTTATTTAGATAACTTCAATCAGTATTAAAAAAAACACAAATTTCCCAAAAAAAAATTTAAATAATGAAACAGAAAATATTCATTTATAACATAGCGAGTATATTTTGTTAATATTAGCGCAGTCGTTACTAACGATGTTAAAATATTTGTTGATTTTGATAAAAATATGGCATATCATATTTTATTCTTATATATGAGCCGCATAAGTAATATTAAATTATATAAGTAGCAGTACAAATTGTATTGAGCACAGTACTATTTCAGTTAAGACAATTAGCATTCGGTTTTGGTAGCCTCGAAGTAACTAAAATGTGTAGTATCCTACAACTTATAAAAGCAACAACATTTTTAGTAGCTGTAACTTATGCAGTCCATGCGCAAACGTCAAGTGATGTGATACAAAATTCGCAAGTTTTACAAGCATGGAAACCGAAAACTACATTATCATGTTTTACCGAACATGAATTAAATGGAATGCGCGATACTAAAAAATACGAATCCAGCTATATTGAGTGTTTTAAGAAAGCCCAAGACTCTCGTCACCTAAAGGAACAAAAATTTGCAAAGCAGCGTTTCAGTATTATAGAATCAAATAAGTTATTATGCGCTGGTTTAGATTATTGCAATGGAAAAAATAGCTCAGCAGATTTTTTTGAATGTCACGCTAATTTTGTAAGTTAAGAAACATTTAAAAAAAAATTTATTTAATTTGTATTTTAGAGTTCGAAGGTTGCAAAATCTGGGTATGACGTATCTGCCATTTCAACCGAAATTTTTCTAAATCTGACCGAAACTTTCCGCACAATTGAAGTGGATCGCGAAAATTGTTATCGTATATCTTTTGATGCTCACCTTAAACGTATAAATGAAAATGTTAAAAAAATAATCGATTGTTTACAAGGTAAAATTAAATACCCAGAATATAAAGCCACACCAGATATATCATCTAAACTACCTGTAAACAAAAATTCTTCAGCTCAGAAACCCGAATACATAGAAAATCAATTTGAACATTTATTGAAGATTCTAAACCCATGATATAATAACAAAAATTTAATTATTCAAAATTAGTAAATAAAATATGATTTTATATTTAAAAAATTTAAAATTTCTTCGATTCATCTTGACCTTCATATTTTTGTTGCACTTTTTAAAGTATTGACTCATACCTAATTTCTATACGTGGTAGTAAATAACATATACTTCATATTTAGAAAATTATATAACATTTAAAGTTACTTTACTTATTTTTCTTTATTTTTTTTTATTATATTCACAAAAATATAATTCTTCAATGCAATAAGATTCGTAATAAAACTGATTCATATAACATTTTATTAAAAAACAATCTGTTTAAAAATTATCACTACAAATGTTACAATGAACTAACCAGTTCAAAAATTTTAGATTTTTTGTTTTGTTTAGATTATTTATTTGTTTAAGTTTTGTGTCTCTTACGATTATACACATAAAAACTCTATCCACACAATATCAAAAAAATTATTCTTGAATTCACAAAAAAAGGAATCAATTGAATGTGTTGTTTATAACATACTGAATCCTTTTTGTACTCTCAAACGCTTAATTCTGATTCAATAACAATTTCAAAATTGGATCATTAAATTTTGTAAACAATTGCACTCAAATAAACACTCCTCAAGATAATAAAGAAACAGACATAAAAGATATAAATATAAATTAAAGAATAAGCGTTGCCGTATTAAAATAATTTTAAAAACGTATAAAAATATAAGCACTATATAAATGTGAAGTATATCACACACGTTACGTATCTTATTGCTTACGTTCCCAACTTATTGCTAAAACGGATCTTATACAAGATATTTACTTTACTAAATATTTCAGTTGTTAATCTTATACTATTGTAAATATGTATATTTATTATAAATGTAAAATCAAAATAATAATAATTTAAGAATACAAAACTATGTAAATATTTTGTTATATTCTCAATTTGATCGACACCAAATAAAATTTAAATTTTTTATATTCTTGAAGATACCTTCTATGGTATAGATTATAAAAAATTATTTTAATTATTATTATAATGTGCTTCAGAAGAACATTTTTCTACAATAAATATTAATCAAACAACAAAAAAATCACGATTTTTTTAATATGATGAAATAATAGCTCTGTTCCCGTACTTTCCAAGTATAAGTCAAGTGTAACATTACCACATTATTTAATAAATAATATTAATAAATAGTATTTCCTCTCTGAGAAAAACAGTTTACCCTTGAAGTATAGAAACGCTTTCAAGTCAAAATATAGTAAATCGAATTCAAATGGACATTTTGTTTTAATAAACAAATAATAACTTTTAAAATTTATTTCTATATTTTATTAGTTTCAATCTTGATTATGACAAGGAATTTATCTCATTTATATTTATTATTAGTTGCATTTTTGTTATATTACAGTATGTGTGGAATATTCTATGTTTTATATTGAAGAATTAGAGTACTTATTACTTAAAAACATTGTAGTGATGTGGATATTAATAGCGTAATATGGAAAGCAGTAGAGTTGGTTCAGAAACTTTAATATCAAATTATTTCAACATTTATTTTGTACCATATAGATATAAACGTAAATTAATTGCCATGCTCATGTTTATAATACTAATCAGCTGTTTTTCGTTTTGTACAATTCGAAATAACAGGTCTCTCTCCTAAACTCGCTCATCTAAATACAATTTGCATATAGAAACATGCAATTTATGTGAACTGCAATATTATATTTATAAAAAATTTCTTTATATAATTAATATGTTTAAAGTTAATCATTTTAGCTTTTGTTTAATTATATATTTCATATAGTTTTAACTCCAGCTTTTGTTTGTTTATTTTGCAGAGGTATTAAGAAGACCGGTGCAGTGTGCAAAACTGCTAATTGTCAATTAAGAAACGAAATTTATAAGCGACTAGCGACATCTCATTATATTTATTACCTTTGCTTTGTCTTTCGCTGCTGTCTTCTTTTGGTTTTCTTAATATTTCTTGCGGCAGAGACCAACTGTCAGAAACTAGTTTGCTTTTCTTGTATTTTTTGCATTTTTACATTTGGCAGTGGTATTTTTAAATTTATTATTAAAGTTACTTATATATCAGATTAACATTTCTTGTCTTTTATGTTTCAAGGGATAAAAGACGGTCTTTTATGTCTTTACGTGGTTTTGTTATCCTGTTGGCTATTTTTATGTGGACGGTACAGAGTGCAAATTGTATTCCAAATGGAAAGGGTTACGCGTTTTGAATCTTTCCTTTTGCACAATCTTTGCTTAGGAGCTCGTTTTCCTTGTCGTTAATTATTTACAGCATTTTGAGAGTAATATCTGCGTTTAATTGGTCTGTCGTTTTTCATGACAATTTTGTAATAAATGGTGTGAAAAATGGAACTCATGTTTCTTCTTTCTTTGTTCTGTGTAAGTTTAGAAGGACTTATTCCGATACTGCTGTTACTGTTTCCTTTAAAACAATGCTAGCTTCGCTAATTGTAACCAGTGTATTAATCGCTTTGTAGAAATATTTGCACTAACATAACTTTGTAACGACCTTTTCCGGTCCTATCTATATACATATATATCTGGCGTATAACTCAGCGAATAATTGGTCTGTCGTTTTTCATGACAATTTTGTAATAAATGGTGTGAAAAATGGAACTCATGTTTCTTCTTTCTTTGTTCTGTGTAAGTTTAGAAGGACTTATTCCGATACTGCTGTTACTGTTTCCTTTAAAACAATGCTAGCTTCGCTAATTGTAACCAGTGTATTAATCGCTTTGTAGAAATATTTGCACTAACATAACTTTGTAACGACCTTTTCCGGTCCTATCTATATACATATATATCTGGCGTATAACTCAGCGAATACATCAGGATTCGTTATAAGAATTAAATAAATAAACGAGGTACTTCAAACACAATGTATTTTAGTAGTCTTTATTTTTAGTTTTTTTTTAAGTTGAATTTTCAATAGCGTAAAACCTTCAATGGGAATGTTAAAGCGACTGGAACCAAAGTAGTGATTAGCGTAGAACCTTCAGTGTGAAGCTTGAAGCGACTGTAACCGAAGTAGTGTTTAGCGTAGAACCTTCAGTGTCAACGTTGAAGCGACTGGAACCGAACTAGTCTTTAGCGTAGAACTTTCCGTGTGAACGGTGAAGTGACTGGAACGTAGTAGTGTTTAGCATAGAGCTTTCAATGTGAACGTTGAAGCGGGTGGAACCGATGCAGTCTTTAGCGTAGAGCCTTAAGTGTGAACGTTCAAGCGACTGGAACCGAAGTAGTCTTTAGCGTCTTCAATGGTGAGAAGTTTCAACTAGAACAAAAAAACAACAATACTGCCTTTTATGTGAAATTTCTTCCATTGCAGGCAACAACAAAAAGCTCTCTCTTTAACAAGAATACCCGCATAAAATGCTGCATAGTTGTAAAATGATTACCACAGAATTCGTCGAATTTTATTAGTGGTAAAAAAAAACGTGGAAAACCACGATTTTAAATTCACAGGGTTATTCGTTAAAAAAATGGATTTTTAACAAATAAATTTACAAAATTCAGATAATATGATTTACAGCGTCATATATGAAGAGGAATGTATTTTTAATATTTATAACTAGTTCAATGTGTGGGATTAAATTTTTCGTAAAATGTTGTCCTTACAACTTCGTCAGTACTTCCGGTTAGTAATAGTAGTTACCCTTGAAAATATTGCGAACACAATTGAATTGATGCTTTCATCATTGATAAGATATCGTGTACTATTTTGTCGACCATGTAAATCCTAATTATTTTTCTACAGTTCATTGCTCTTAGTTTAAGCCTGTCCACTATGGTTTGACTTACGAAACTACTTGAAACACCGGTATCTACAGTAACCTCAATAGAGTGTTTGTTTAGTTGGATGGATTCCTATAGTTCTTGCAGGATTTTTTGCACCTTAAGAAGTATTTTTTGATTCGTGTACCAAAATAGTACTTTATCTATCAACAGGTTAGGCAACGTTCTTGGAATCAAGCCCAAATTTATGTAGACGTCTGCAAGTCCCTGCAACGAACCTGAACCTGAAGTCGTTAGACTTTGCTTATCTCAGCAAAATAAACGAAGGAAAGGTGCTCTTACACACAGGATATCGTAAAATGCAGATTCTAATATAACATCGAAAATTTTAATTAAAAGATAAAAAACTATCAAATATTTTTACAATCAAATTATAATTGTCTTGCTTCAAACCAAGGCCAAAAATACATCAGTTTTGTGTAACAGAACAAGTTTTTATAGAATACACATTTACTTTAAATTTAAAGCATAAGACGAACATCTTTGTTTATATGCTTTTTAAATATGAATACGTGTGATGTTAATGCGATGGTCATACATTATTAGCGTTTTATCCTATGCTTTAAGAGCTTACGGATATATGAGACCGCGCACAGCATATACATAAAAAGTAAGCATGATAATTTTATATAAACCGATCCTGCATTTTGGCACAACAATTTATAAATCACAGTTTTCACAGTTTCGGCTAAATCGTGGTTCTCTGACTTTATCTTTAATATGTTAATCACTGACTTGTGTCAACATATTAAAGGTAAAAAGAACAAAACACAACAAAACATATTTATGTTTCCGTAAATTTTTTTAAAGTCTGTATTGCTAAAATAGGGCCCACACTTAATGGAAACAGCTTATGTTTGCTAAGGGCCGGTGAAAAGCTAAAAGAGCGTATTTATGAGAAATTATCATTATTTTTATTTAAAATTAGAATTTAGACATTCATTAGTTTCTGAGAATATGCATGATGAATGGAGACATTTGGCAATAGTAATAATAACGTTTAGTCAACCGTGAAATTCAGTACCAAGTACGAAGTATAAAGTCACTTATTTAATAAACACAAAATTAAACAACAAATCATACATCCAATTAATAATATTACCTTATGTTATTTATAATATACATATTAAAATATATAATCATGCATTCGACTGCATGCCACATATTATAAAGTTTTATTTTCTAACAGAGCACACAATGATAAAACTACTTTAGGCGCGATACATATCTACTGCAAATTTGGACTAAATAATAAAAATATTAGAAAATATCAATTTCTAGTAGAAATTTTCTACTATCAAATTAAATTTTGTTTTAATAATGAAATGTTGGTAAAATATATAACATTTTTAAAATACGACCAATATAACAATAATTATTTGTTTTAAATTAAGATAAAACTCAGAAATTTTTATATATTACCGTTAATAAAATTGTATGCAATGTAGTTTGAATGTTAATTCTGTGCACATGCTGAAATAATGAACAGGCTAAATAAACATACGGACATAAATGCAAAAAATATATTATGCAAATAAATTTATATTATATGCTATGATTATTAACATCAATTGTTTAATTTTTATAATAACAATCCTTTTCTTAATTTTGCTCCGTATAAATAAAAAATTTATACTTCTTGTTTATTATATATTTAAATATTAATTTATTTGAGTAATAGTATCACACAAAACAAATAAAAAACAATTTATATATACAATCATTTATTTTTATTTATTATATTCAAGAAATATTAGAACTTTAAAATTTAATTTTTAAATTTTTACCATTTACTAAGTTATGAAATATCATTAACTTGTGTTTATATCAAGTTTTTAATATATAATCTCAGTATAGTCGTTATTAGTTGTTTTCTTTTAAAAAAGTGATCGATAACAGAAATAGTAGAAAATAATGTTTCTTCATAATTTTCTTCCAATTCAATTGAATAAAATTAAACTACGTATACGTTAATATTTGTTAAGTTAAATAATAATTAGGCCTATTTACATTATGATGAACGGAGATGAACTTGATGACAACATGAACTGTCAGTTCAGTTTACACTGTCATGAGCATGAAATTTGTTTTGTTTTGTGTAAACGTATAAAATGCTTGTGTGGAATAGTGCAGAGCACAGAAATTGAGAGTATTCAGCATTAAAAGGTAAGCATAAACATAACATTGCATATGTATGTGTGTCAAGCTAAAGAAATGCAACAAATTTCAATGCGTGAAATTCATGAACTCACATTACACTCTCTTCCCTCTCTCTCATCATAAACCAACCGGTTTTCAAGTTCATGTTCATGTTCATGTCCATATTCATGATAGTGTAAATAGGCCCATTGTGTGATTTTCACTTATTATTTGAAGGAAATATGCCCGCTTGTTAAGTTTTACGTTAGTACATCATAATTATTACTTTATTAGAAAGCATTCTTAGCTTTATAGCTTATGAACATTTTTTAACCATCTAACTCACCCTGATTTGCCGTATTTCTGCTTATGCACAGCTGTACCGGTTTTAATAATTTTTGAAATTTCTCGGCCACCAGAGCTTTCACCTTCCGAAGTATTTTCAGAATATTCGTTTTCCAATGAGTTGGACATAGGTGGAATATGAATATTGCACAGATTACGTACAAGACTTACAGTATCTTTATTAGGCGAAGCACTATCTGTTTGCTTTTTAGGCAAATTTGGCACTGCCGATTGTGATAGGCATTTAAGCTTATTTTTAAGTTCAAATCTTAAATCTGTGGGCATTACTCTCATATTGACATTATATAGTTTTTTTTTATCAGCTCCTTAAAAATGAAATCAAAAATAAAAATAAAATTTACCCGTTTTTTTTTAAATAAAAATGGCATAGTTTATTTTCTTTTTTATTATAAATTTTTGGTAAAAAATTCGTTCACAATGTAACAATGTTAATATTTTTAGTCTAATTTCATAATGAACGAAAAAATGTACCACCATTGAATACAAGGCCATACATAAATTAAAACGCCATATATTTAACAGTTAAACATGAATTTTAAAGATTTTAAATATATATAAATTTTTTTAATTAATGAAATGTTCAAAATATAATAAATAAATACATTTTGTTAATATAATAAAATTTAAAAGTATATAGCAACTTTGTTAAATTATATTAGTTACAGACATGTGATTTATTATCATTATCATTCATTTGTGTAAAACAGGTACCATGTTCAATTTTAAAAATGTGGTGGGAATTATAAAATAAAACGCAGTAGGATAGAAAATTTATTTTTATAGTCTTTAACGTATCCATAAACTAGAGATTTGCAATAGAAAATATGCGATCAAAATCTTTTGTGGCCAGAAGAAATTCTTCATTTGAAATAATTATTTCCTCGAACTTTTTTATCTGGTTTGTGTGTTGATTATATTTTCGTTCTGTATTGAAAGACGTCCGCGAATTGTTTTTCCCGCTTAAGGAACTGAGCTGAAATCCATTCTTATGATCTTGGTTACCTATTGCAGTAATTGTCTGTTTAGGTGTTATAATATCACAAACATTTGGAATAAAGTTACGTGTGGTATTATCCGAAAAAGGTATACTTGATTCAATTGATTTAATATCTGTTGCATTTTCTTGCTTTTCTAATGAATCTGAAACTTCTAAATTATTAGTTGTGTCAACAGTTGAGGGATATGGTGTACTAAATTTATAACGGTATGCTAAATTTATGTTTTTTAAATTAACATTTGGTTTCGAAACATAACCACTCACTTTTTTAAATTGTAACGATTGTGTTTGATTTTCTTGTTCCATATTTGATAATCGGATTCCAAAAAATTTAGCATACCTTTTATCAATTCTTGTCGTTCCTTTTTGGTTTTGAACACATGTTTTATTTTTGTTCATTAATGAATTCAAAGAACACATTTTATTTAAATTATTGAAACCATTTATTTTTTCACTCATGTTTATTTTTTCAATATAATTAACATTATAACTTGGACATTTTATAATTGAATTTATAGAACCCACTTCTTTTGCACTATTTTTTTCATTATTTATTAATGTATTTTTATACTGATTATATGTTCTAAGTTCTTTTTCTAATTGCTCTTGTTTGAAGCGTATACTGTTTTCAAGGAAAGGTGATTTTATTTTACCAATGTGCTTCTTAATTATATCGCTTGAATTTTTATTTCTCTGATCATTTTCAATTGGTGAAAGTGCTAAATTTTCAGTAGTATTGTTATTTCGATCATTGTATAAATGCGATTTTTCTAAAGATTTGAGTTTCATTCTCTTCGTAAAAGGAATATATGCTGATGTTGAAGTTATATCCTGTGTTAGGGCTAATGAAATAGACTTTTCTAAAGAATAATTCTCTACGCCTTTTTCCGTAAACTTGCACATTGATGTTGAATCAAGAGATTTTTTATCCATCAAAGCTTTATTTCTCAACTGTGTTCTCTTATTAATAGGAGTGCAATCCATAAGAATGGGTGCAATCATATTGTTACTTTTGGATTTTGGTATACTTAATGGTGTGCTTTGTAGACAATAACTCGTATTAGGAGCAGGACTTGTATCTCCAAAGTCAATACTAGGACTATAAGTTGATATATTAGAATATTGATAGTTCTGACAGTTTTGTGATTCAAGCTTGTTAAAAAATCGAAGCCTTTCTGATAAGGATAAAGATGACGGGTCTGTAATAAATTGTTTTCTTATTGAGCAAATATTAAAGTTAAAAAGCTTTTTAACATTACACACCCTTTCGAGGCTCTTTGTATTAAATAGTTCTATTCATTATGTTTAAAAATATTAATGTGATGTAGTACAAATATGTTTTTATTAATTTTGTATTCAAATTATTTATACATTTATTTATATTAAAATTGCAATAAATTGTTGCGTGTTCTTGTATAATATTGTACTATATGAAAAACGTTTTTAATTAAAGTTTTTTTTTATTAGTTTTATTTGTTGGATTGGTAGAACTATGTATAGATAAATTTTATTAACCATGCAAATAAATGTTATATCCAAGTTTGAACTATAAGCGGCAAACTTTAAACAAATAAAATAAATAAAATATGCAGTAAAAATTATTTTTATTTTTAAAAGTAACAAAGGCAAAAGTGTTAAAAATATTAAAGAGCTTAACAAAACAAAGTGCGTAATATAAGTAAGTCATGCAATACTCACCAGTTTCTTCATCTACATCAGTTTTATTTGAAATTTCAGTTACTGGCTCCGACGAATCATCCTTGGGTGATATATTAAGTTTGGACGGAGAAAATTGAGAAGCAGCTTACAAAAAAAAAATATTACTTGTGGATGCAAATTATGTATAAAATATCATAATTTTTAATTTTAATTTATTTAACTATAAACATTAAATTTTTTTGATATTATGGCTTAGTTGTTAGTTGATTTGAATAATTAAATTTATTTTTTTTTTATTTATTGAATTTTATACATTTTCACAATTTTTTTATGAAAGGAACAATTTATTCATATGTGTAATTAATGAATCATTTTATTTTGTCTCGTCAAATTAAAAGTAGATTTTATAGAATTTTAAGGTTTCCAAAATTTCTGTAGCATTATGTAATATTACGCATATTGAGCAACCTTTATATAACTTTGCCATAACAAAATATAAAAAGTGTCATTAAATTATATAATAGTTACTTACTTCTTTTAGGTAGTACGATTTCTTCCTGTAATTTCTGAAACATGTTCGCTCGTTCCCGAACGCTGTTACTTCGTTTAATGCCGCCTGCCTCAACTGCATCACTTTCAATTAGTTCCTTATGTTTATTATTTTCTGAGTCTTTTTGAGAATCCACTTTCATAATGCTTGGCTCTGATAAGTCCTTATTAGTTTGAGACATTTTAGATATAAATACAACGTTATTTAAACAATTTTTTTCAATATCTCGGGTAGAAAATAAGTTTTTGTTACTACTTAAATTTTCAGAAACTCGATTAGAGTGTGAAGGCACCAAAGGTAATGGGTTTGAAATTGATGATTTAACTGTATTTGCTTCATGAGGTTGATCTCCTTGTAATTTTAACAAATTACATGAAGTACTTTTTAAATCACTCAAGGCTAAAGATGAGTCTTGAAAACTATAAATATTGAAAAAACAAAAATTCAAAATATTATTTCTATCGGATTTCACTATATTAAATTAAATTAAAAATATTATATCAATTAAATTAAAAATTTAATTTTTTTCTTTTGCATTTTGTAATATTTTTTGCACATGTATTCAAATAAGAATTTTTAAACATACATATGGTATGTATTAAATAAAACATTAATTTTTAGTTGCAAAAATTTGCTATTAGATACCTTAATATCTACTTTTATTATCACATAAGTTTCTTTTATTATGTAAACTTGCCAATAAATCGAATAATAATCAAAATTTTTATTTTAAGTTTTTATTGCATTATTGTAGAAAATTAACTAGTTATCAGTGTTTACTTAAAAACAGATATAACAATCACTGAACCACACATTTACTAAAAATCGGCCAACGATTACAAAAACAATGTCTATATTTATCACATTGAGTAAAAAATAATAAGATTATTAATAACACAAAAAGCTCTCGCTCATTTAAAATAAAATTTTTAGCAAAAGAGTATACAGAAATGTATCATGAAGAACTGAACTGATTAGTTTTAGAAAATTTCGCAACATTTTTAGTTTTAATTTCTCATATTTGTTTGTAAAATTCTTTAACATATATCCACATACAAAAACCATATATAGGGTGTTCCCTTTAAATAGTATTAATTTTTGTAAATGATTTTCCAGTTTAAAAAGGAAAAGTATTATCGAAGGGTGAGTTTTAAATTTATTATAATTATGAACTTAAATACTTGATACCCCGTCACTGAATATACATACTATAATAAACGGTCATTCCTTTTGTAACATATGAACACCTACACATTTTAGCAGGTAATGTTGATTAAAGTATATTTTTTTTCATATATTATCATAAGGACTACGGATGCAATTTTTTCTTAAAAATATTCATATTTATTTTGAAGCACAAACTGAGCTCGAAACTTTACAAATTTTTTGTACGGATAATAGTTGGGAATTAATAACTAACAATTTTTAAGTATATAATATAATAGCGATAAACATATTAGAATGTTAACTACATAATTATATACAATTCTAGACATTTATTAAAAAGTGTTTTTGGTTTTTTGCACTTCAAACATATATTCACGATGCGTGTAACCTTAAATTTAATATAACAATATACAACATCACACCCAAAATATATATAATATATTATACCAGATACAGAACGGGGGTTCAAGTATATCAAACAATCAATTCGTCATCAGAGTATATGTATAACTCAATATGGTTAGACGATATACGAACAAAAATATCGCTACAAACATAAGTGAAACAAACAGATGTACATGCATATGCTATTCTAAGTTACTAGATGATACTTTTAACCACTTTTAACCAAAACAAATGCGTAGTGACATTGTGATTTAAAAACACTCCCAAGAAAATGAATACACATCTTACTTCTTAATATATCACATCTTAATATATTGATAAGTATACATTAAAATTCAGGCTCCGAAACGCTCTATGAAGAGAAAAATATATAGAAGCAGCATGTAATAATGAAAGAATAAAGAATGTCAAAGACAATTTCAAATTCATATTAAAGTTTATAATACTTAATGCAATAACACTTATCGATCACACACAGATTTAAATCAGAGTCTTTAATTCTAGATAATATTTTATAAATAAATTAAAAATGAAATTCATTGCTAAAATCCCAATTATTCTCTTATCTTCTCCGAGTAATATTTGAAAATAATACTAACATTTATTACAACCTATCTTAAAATTTGTGACTAGTTCTAGTTCTAATTCTAATTAAAATTAAAATATAATTAATTAGAATATTTTCTGAGAAGCAATGTTGTAAACAAGTACTTTTCTTTGTCAAAAACTCTAAAAATAAAAAGCCTTTTTTTAAGACTTTATTACATTTTCTATTCAATTAAAAAAAAAAAATTTAACTATTGTTAAAAGGCAACACCCGGTTTAATACATATGTGGTGAGTATCAGAATATAACGAGTATATAAATATACGCAAATGTATTCAGTAACATATAAATTATAAAAAAAGCTTTTTTTTTATTAATACTTACTACAAAGGCAATATTGAGTATTGCTTTTGCTTATTATATCTACTTTGACTATTATATATAATAAAAAAAAAGCATTTCAATTTTTCAATAAATTTTACGTCATAATTATAAAAAGCTGAAGAAAATGAAGACTGCGCTGCGCTGCCAGTTAGAGAGATTGTTGCTTAAGTTTTTGGTAAATCAAACAGATCAAATACGTCTATCCCGATATGGTTTAAACAATAACTGAAGCATATTATACAAAATTAGTGAATTACTTAATCTAGTAATTATCGATATCATTATCATATTATTAGAGAAAATACTACGGCTGTAGACAACGCTGAATTTTAAAGACTGATTTTCGAATTACTTAAAGACAATGAATCAATATTTATATTCTTTGAATTGGAAAATACATCTGATATAATGGAATTTTCGATGTCATTGCACTCTAGATCAGAGTAGGCTTCTACTGCACAGTTATAAGATACCCTAGAGTTACTTTCGTTGAGTTCTATCAATGAAGCAGAAAGCACATTATCACTATGCACTTATATTATCATAGTCGTCCTTTCTGTTCATTGTGAAAACAATGAGCAGACTTAGAATTAGAATCAAAAAAATTGCAAATAACTTACAATAATTAACAAATTAATACAGTACTGTTTACTTTAATATAAATACGACGGAGTTGAAGTTAAAAATAGAAATCTCGGTTTTGCAGAAAATTCTAAAATGAATTAACTATGAAATGCTTGAACACTCCAAACTCTCCCGCATGTTGAAGCTGGAAGCTGGCATGTTAAAATTGAGTCACAACGAGTTCATGTGACACAAAAATAACTCAAATATGCTTTTCCCGACTTCTGCGACCGATTTTTGTGAAGTTGCCAACATTTCATTTTTAAGATTTTTTGAGTGATACACTCTCTATTAGTGCTGTTCACATTATTCGAAGTTTTTAAAAATTCGAAGTTCTTCGAATATTCGAATATTCGCATTTCAACGAAGTCTTCGAAGTTGGAAAAAACTTCGAAGTTTTTGTGAATTTTTGTTCTCGAAGTCTTCGAAGTTTAAATGTAGTGAAAAACTTCGAAGACTTCGAAGACTTCGTAAGCAAAAGGTGAAGTGAGAGCGCAAAATGCAAACAAACGTGCATCACACAAATTATTTGAGGGATGAAAGCGTTTGCTTTGTTTGTACGGTTTTATGTTTTTTGTTGTTATTCTATGCAGAAAATTAAAAACATGTTTTTTGTTTTATTTTATTACATAAAATTTATTTTATTATTTTATTATTAAATATGTATTGTAATATATATTATTTTTAAATATGTTATTATTAAATATTTTTTATATTAAATAAAAAATTCACATTTTAAATAACTTATATTTATTATTTATATTTAAAAAATTATATTTATGAAAATTTTTAATATAATATAAAATACATGAAAATTTGATGGAATTTCTTTTATACAATTTTGCTTATACACTAATTTACATTTTATTTAGATACTTCCTTATAATATTATGTATTTCTTTTCCTAGAATAAGGGATTTAAAATTTTTCCATAAACAGTAAAATAACTGTAACTACAACAAAACATTCAAAATTTTATAATGCAAAAATAAATTTGCGCTTGCCTGCGTGATCATCACAGCTCATACAGGTCAAATAATTAGGCATTAATAAGCAAAACTCATTTTTCCATAACTAATTTTCAAGATTTTAATTTGTGATTTTATTGAAAAGGAAAATGAAAACTTTTATAAAATTCCATTACTAATAAAATCCATCAATATCAATATTTTCATATTATTACGTATATATTTTATATTATATTAAAAATTTTCTCAAATATAATTTTTTAAATATATATAATAAATATAAGTTATTTAAAATGTGAATTTTTTATTTAATATAAAAAATATTTAATAATAACATATTTAAAAATAATATATATTATAATACATATTTAATAATAAAATAAATTTTATGTAATAAAATAAAACAAAAAAACATGTTTTTAATTTTCTGCATAGAATACCAAAAAAAAAAACATAAAACCGTACAAACAAAGCAAACGCTTTCATCCCTCAAATAATTTGTGTGATGCACGTTTGTTTGCATTTTGCGCTCTCACTTCACCTTTTGCTTACGAAGTCTTCGAAGTCTTCGAAGTTTTTCACTACATTTAAACTTCGAAGACTTCGAGAACAAAAATTCACAAAAACTTCGAAGTTTTTTCCAACTTCGAAGACTTCGTTTACTATTCGAATATTCGAATTTCTTCGAATACTTCGTAAATTCGAATATGAACAGCACTACTCTCTATGCTTATATATTCTTCGATTTAACGCATATAAAATTTATTACACTTGTTTTTCGCATTCTAAGCAAACTGTTTTATTACATTCATGTAAAACTTGAAATATTTATTTTCAAATTTTCCGAATCACAATCACGGTTGCCACTTATGGTACTTTAGTACCAAAATTGGTACTTTTTTTTTCGTTTGGTACTCATGTTCAAAAAATGGTACATTTTTGACGACCCAACTTTATTGTGGATATTTCCAATTAATTTTTTTTATAAATGCAATTTTGCACTATTTTATATTTTGTTCATTTATAACACTATGAAAAAAACAGAACGAAAAAACAAAAAGGTCTAAAAAAATTTTGGACCTTTTTTTACAGAAATGGTACCTTTTTAAACCAATTTTGGTACAGAAAAAAATTTTCAAGTGGCAACCGTGATCACAATATAATATAATTTAGAACTCTTAAATTAATATAAAATGATTAATTAAGTAAACGCACAAAATTCAAATAAATTCAAAGCACAACAATGCCATATATTTTTGATTTTTTAGCATGCAGCACCTTCTCGTAACCAGCGCATAAGATCTCATGAGCCTCAGCTCGTACTCTTGCTCATGATCATGAACCAATTTATAACTTAAAGGCGGCTCTTGTTCACGAGCGTGAGCTCTGCAAAAGGTGCTCGCTCATGAGCGTGAATAATCGTATGAAAAGAGTTTCTTGCCTGTTCATGAGCTGTGAGCATAATGAGCAGAAAAGAGTCGCTCATGGATACGCAAATACGAACTCTGCAATTCGTATTAAACTTCGAATACATTCTGAATAAGTAAAAGTGGGGAGTATCAAAATAAACTTTATTTATATACATATATCTCTTTTAATGATCAGATCCGGCGACCAGTGACAAGTTTATGTATCCGAAGTTGAAAGTTTAGCGCTTAGCGCAACAATTCTCTGTTGATAAGCCTCAATCCGCATTAATGGGCATTTTGATGACGTCCTCGAAATGCATTACTTAAATTAGTTGAAAAAATTAAAATACTTGGAACTTGAGCATTGAAAGTTTGTGCAGCCTTGGCTTCTTGTGGATAAACACGATTAGTCATCGCTTCTAATTTGATAGGCACGAGTTCTAATCCTGGCACTTGCAGTCCAAACAAATTATATACGGACTATAAACTAATTAAATAAAATTCGATTATTTCCAAAGACCACTGATGAAGAGTACTTGGCAATACTCGAAACAGCGTTGTATGGTCAGCCAAATTTCAATAAATTAAATAAAAAAAAAATTTTTGTCTTTGCCTTTCTTTGCTATTCGAATCGGTCTAACTTTTAAAGTAATATCTTTCTAAGTATTAAGCTGAGAGAAAATTATTTTGAAAAATAAACAGCAAAAAATGTCAAAGCTTTAATCTTATTTAGTAAGATATTTTAATAAGCTTAATAAAAGAAATGATCTTTTTTTAAATAGCGGTCAATCGTTCCAATTTATAACTTTAATTTTATTTTTCATATATTAAACTTTTACACTATTTATGTTGACACAAAAAAATACCTTAAAAAAACTAATAATCAAAACATATCTAAATAAAAATTAAATTATAAAGCATATTTTGATGAAAATGTATTACGTTAATTTAAAAACAAAACTGATATAAAATAAATTATAAAATACTCACATTATTTTTTCATTAAAAGTCACAGGTTGCGTTTTGTATCGATCTCGATAACTACATCGTCTTTGAATATTTATTTTTAAATCTAAATCTGTGTTAGGATTTTCTGACATATCGAAACTGCTATTTACTTTTGTTGGTAATATAAAGGAATTGCTATTTTTATTAAGAATGGATTCCATATATTTAACACGTTCAGAAACGGAGTTATTAATAGTTGCACTCAATTCATCCTTATTAACTTCTAATGTCGAAGTTGCAATAGCATCCAGAGCAGCACCTAGATCAACTAATGGAATTACATGACGTTCAAGAGAACGAGTACGACGATTTAGTAAAAAATGGACAGGTTTGCTTGTCTTAGAACATGATTCAAAACTACTTAAAGAGCGTCGTTTCAATAAAGAAGTTGTTTTTAGAATAGGTCGCACTGAACTTTCACGACTATGCTGTGTTTCACTATTCAAAAACGAACATTCATCAAACTCTTCGCGACTGCTTTTTCTAGAAGTTTTCAAAATCGGTCGTATTTCTTGTTCTTCCGAATCTCCAGAAATTTTTTTTTTAAGAATTGGCTTAGGTGTGCGTATAGTTTCATCGGTATTTATGCTCTCTTGTTTAAGAATCGGTCGTATGTCATGCTCGTCATTTGTAAACGTATAACTATCTTCTAAAACGAATAGTTCTTCATTAGCACTTTTTTCACACCCTATATCATTAGGACCGAAAAATAGTGGCTGAGATACAGATATGGTAGACAAATTATCTTTTTTCTTTAAAATACTATGCGGATGTATTTCCGTAGCTGAAGCATAATTAACACTTTTACTTCCATCATGGCTACTTTGTTTTAAAATGCCATGTGTTTGATTTTGTTGTATCTCTTGTAAAGTAGTTTCCTCGAGAGAATTGCGACGAATTAATTTTGATAACATGTCTCTTTTATCAGATGAATGCAAGTGTGATAAATTTCCTGAATCATCAAGACTGGTTCTTTTTTTAAGAATTCCAAGACGTTTTATTTTTGAAGATATTTTAAAAATATTTGTTGACATTGTAGCAGGACTTACATTTACAATATTTGAGATTTGTTCATTTTCTAAGCAACAATCTTTTTTTTTTAAAATTGAAACTACATGGTTTAGATCTGTAGCTGTTGACGTTGACGTTGACGTTGACATTGAGATTAGTGTACCATCAATTTTCTGATTTAATGTTAGTGATCTTTCATGACTTAGCGAACAATTTCCATAATTTATATTATTTCCACAATCTAAGCTTAATGATTTTTCATTTTCAGTCATTATAACCGGATCACTAAACTTACGTTCATTAATCCTTCGGTTTTTTTTAATTAAAAGATCTTTATAAAGTTCATCGCTTATCGGCAAGGTTTCACTTCTACGATCAATGCGTTTAATATTTGGTTTCAAATAATTTGTTAATTTTAACTGAGATGCCATATCTTGAAAACATGCACAAGAATCTTCTTCTAAAGGTAGAAATAGAAATCAATTTAAAACAATAATAATAATATTTCTTCATAATAGTAATAGTTTCTTTTTTAATTCATTTTGAATGTAGTCTTGAAAACTTACTACTGCTTATTATAACTTCTTCGTTTTGTGATCGATTCAAATGCGACTTTCTTTTAGCTGACTTGTCACGAACAAAATCATCCGACTGAACATTTCATGCAAAAAAAATTATGCATATATGTATATATATTATTTTTACATACTTAAAAGGGTCTCATATTTTGTACTCACATTATCTTTCTTTTGTTGTTCTTTTTTCCTTTCTGAGTAATCTTTTTTATTCATACTGTTAATCACACTTTTCTTGCTTTTAAAATTCTGAAAATTTAAATTTTTATTCATACTGACAATTGAGTCTTTATCTTTTATATTTTTGTTCATTATTATATGAAGAGTTGGTATATGTTGCTTATTGGATGAGACATTACAATATATTGGACCGTTTTGCTCACAATTAGGAACTTTATTATTTGATGGTAATTTTTGTTGAATTAAATAAGAGTCTTCTCCGAAGTTATTATTCTTTATACCTATTAAATTAAATGAAAGTTATTTCATATTTTTATTTTTAAAATGTGTAAATAATTATAAAAATATATCATATATTGGCAGAAATTATATAATACAAAATTTAAATGGACTTCTAAGCTCCTGAATCAATCTGCATGATAATTATACCAGGTAATTATATATAAAAGCAGCGAATATAATTTTGTAGGCTATAAAGTTTTCATTTTGTATTTATTAATAGGGTTGTTACTATAAAAACAAAAAAAATTATAAAATCGAATTTTCTTATAATTCACTAAATTGATCTCCAGGATATAGTCCAGGGCAAGGACTATATAATTTTTGTTTAACATACAAAAAATTAAAAGATTCAAATGTTTCTGAACTTGCTGCGACAAATCCACAATGTCACAATCTGGAGAAAACAGCGAAGCAGGAAAAGAGGAAATTTTGAATGTGCATATATTGATGAAAAACATCAAAAGTATAAAAAAAATGTAACCAAAGCAAAGAAACAAAAATTAATGTGAAATCATTCAGTCTTTGTTTTATCGGCGTAGTATAATTAATAATCTTTACACAAATATTTTTATTTCAATTATTTAATCGAAATCATAAAAAAATTTTGGACGAAGCGAGCTACTGCAAACAACTTATTATGCTTATAAGCATATAAACCGAAGTACTTTTGTAAAAATTTGTTCGACTTAACGCTATACTGTACGTTTGAAACACGAAGCCTTACCTTCACATACTGATGCCCTTTGGAACAGGCCTGCGTGACAATATTGCTATAAACCAATCCAATCAATCTTCATACCTACGTATGAAGATTGATTGGAAGCTCTGATTGGTCATACACTCGTAAAATTTCTTCATTTGGGAGCTTCCATAAAAAGTAACATGGAATTGCTGGCGGATCTGTTTCTTATATATTATTTGACGCCTTTATGAATACCAACGAAGTTGTATACTACTCTCGAAAACATACTATTGCTTGGAGTCGTGTTAAATAGATTGAATAATTTAAATTCCGCGAGGGAGTACTGTCGGTAGTTAAATTAAGTTATATTATTCTTCAATAATTCTATTTTAACTATTTTTTTATTTTTTTAAAACTTTTGGTAATTGCTTTTGGATCCTTCATAAATACAAGGGTGTAAGGATACGCAATAATATATTATATAGGCACATCAAATAAAAAATACTAATATTTATGATAATAAAGTAACTCAATTTTCTACACAGATTGAAATTTCTAATTACAGTTAAATGAACAAATTTAATTATACGCATGAGTAACAAACAATCTTTGTCTGATATATTGTAACATATGCATAAGTAATACAGTCTATTACATTTTCATCCAATTACTTTTAACTAATTTAAAAATAAAGATGTTTTTCGACCAGTAGTGAGCTACAAATACAAAAATTTATTTTATATTATTTTAATTAATGGAATTTTTGACTCACCATACTTTACATAATTTAAAAATACGTATGTAAGTATATATAGAGTAGTAGAATGTTCAATGAAAGTAACGAATTTTTAAAGTAAAAATAATATCTTACAAATACTAGTTGTAGCTGCAATTATCCACATTATTACATTTAATCTGTTCAAATTTTATTCATCGAATATAGATATGTAAAGGTGTATCCACAGTAAAGCGAACGCTTGCAAATGAACAAACATTTGCAGATAATGGTCCCTACAAAAGTTCATTCATTCCCAAGCGTTCACTTTGGTGTGAATGTACCTTCAGAAGATCAACTCAACCGAACTTTTAAAACTAATATTAAATTAAGTTGTATAAATTATCAAATGAAATCATTTGTCAATACAACAATTATATTAACACATTAACATACTATTGTTGTAATTTTTGTTAAATGTTATTTTATTGTAATATTAAACTATTAGATAATGACTATATTATTACAACAATAATTTATTAGATGAGTGTTATTCTTGCTTTTTTTTCTTCCTTGGCATCTAAACTACAACTTTTTTGAAATACCTCTTTGGTTTTTAAACACAACGACAACTGTTGATTTTGACAAATGTCAAAGACATGTTCATGACTGCAATCGCCTGTAGATGCCAACGCACAGCCGCTTCTAAAATTTGACGGCTGTCAGATGGTAAATCCTATTTTGTTGTAGTCGTAATTATGTTGTATACTTCGTTGGAAATCGCACCTCTACTCCCTATTGGGTCACTTTCGGTGTATGTTGAATGCAGAGGCTGTCATTCGGTTCTTCCGCACTCTCTTTCTCTCTCTCTCTCTCTCTCTCTTTCTCTCGCTAGGCTTTTATTGGTTTCGTTCGCCACTTATGCTGATCTCACGCAACCCAAACTAACATTTATTGACCCTCCTTTAACGTGTGTTAGACACGCTCTATTAGCCCATTTGCCTGAGGATGGTACGTATTAGTCCACAGGCTATCTTGAGAACTTGTCGATGCATATTAGGCAACATCGCACACCATTGCAGATGGGTAACGGCCCCATGATATCAATATTTATATGCTCAAAGCGTTGATTGGTGCTTTAAAGTTCTGTAACACAGTACTATTGTGTTGATGAATTCGAGATTTCCGGCATGCAATGCTCGTTTTTGGTATTTCAATTGTTTCGGTCTTCATTTTGGGCCAACAAAACGATCTGTTATTAGTCTTACAGTTGTTTTTTTTTCAGGATGAGCTAAAGTGTATAACATTTAAAACACTTGTTTATGGAATGATTTTGTGATAAAAAGTCTTGCTTACTTTCCCGATACGTCACAATATATGGAAACATCATCTAAAGGTAGATTCATCAACTTAAGCTCTAGGGATGACGCTGTTGGGTTGTTTTTAACAATTTGTTTACCTCCTGGTTAGTATTCTGCCCTTCTACCAATTTTACATAGACTACTAGTCGTCTTGATTCGGTCACCACACTTTCAATTTGGGATAAAGCATCTGCAACTGTAATTTGGTTGCCTACTATATGCTGAATGTCTGTTGTCAGCTACCCGATAAAGTTCAAATGGCGTAGTTGACGTTTGGATGCTTTGTCAGGTCTTTACAGGAAAACGAACGTAATAGATTTATGGTCTTGCCATCAATCATATATCTGAAGTACTTAACCGCCATATATATAACAAGGAGTTCACGGTTATATGTACTATAATTCTTCAACGTCTCTGTCAGTCTTTTGAAATAGAATCCTAATGATTGCATTTGTTCACTTATTAACTGTTGTAGAGCTCTTTTCACTGCGTCGTTACAAGCGCCTACACTAAGCACTAGTTTTGCATTTAAAGTGGGTGGGCTAACATCGCAGCATTTGCTAGGTCGTTTTTAAGCTCTTCAAATTTTTGTTTGGTTTCTGCTGTCCACTCAACTGGGGATTTATCGTTTTTCTTACTACCTTTTATTAACGGACGCAGGATACCCTGATTCTTTGCAGCGTGAAGACGAAAATGCCTGTAAAAGTTTAACGAAACGATAAATCTTATTAATTATCGTGCTCCTGTGCTTCTGGTTTTTTAAAATATGGTAGTTCATTGCGAAGTAATTCCGTCTTTGTTAACTATGTACCCCAGAAAGGTAAGTTCTTTCTTATAAAACATGCACTTTCTCAGATTGATTTTTAGGATACGGTCGCGTAATCAGCCAAACACCTCTATTAAGTGCATCTTATGCTCTTCCTCGTCAGCCGATGTCACGCATATGTCGTTTATGTATATTACTACATAATCTGTTTTTAAACACTTCGTTCATAATTCCTTGAAACGGAGTTAGCATTTCAAAAGCTACAGCAATACACGTTCTTATTGGTCTCTAAGAGTACCGATAAGACAGAAGTAGTGTGGTCGTCGAGGCTCAATGCAGCATTCGAACAAAGTAAAGCAAGTTTTTCATCAGCTGCCAAATTAGTACACTTATCACCAACATATCCATTACGATTGTCGACGGACGCATCTAGTTTCGCAATTGGTTCCGTTCTTGTACAACAAATAGGTGATTAGTGGAATCCAGTTGCATTTTACTTTGCAAAGTTAAGAGCAGCCCAACTTAATTACAGTGCTTACGATAGGGAACTCTTAGGAGTTTACCTTTCGATCAAACATTTTCGACACATGCTAGTAGCGCATAAGTATTTTGACAAAATCTTTGTGTAAGTGTTTTTCAATTTTAAACACGTGAAAACGAAAAAAAACCTTTATAGTTAACTTTAATTGATATTAAACATTGATAAAAAATAAAAATTGATTATAAATTATTAAAAACAATTAACAAAATGGCTAAGTTGAGTTTGGTTATCAGATATTCAATGGTAACAAAGTTTAACACTGAAACGGCAGTAAAAGATATAGCAAAAGATTTTAACGTATTGCGTCAAACTGTTTTTATCAAATTAATAAGTTTAAAAAGCATAATAACATAAGAAACTTAACGAGATCAGATGCTAAATGCAAAACAACGCTCAACGGTGACCGAGTCCTTCTAAGGGAATTCAAAAAAAAATCTGCTGTTGATAAATGGATTTTGGCGGCCAAAACTGCAATTATTAACCGCACTGTTCGACGACGTTTAACGGAAGAAGATTTTAAGACAATAACAGCTAAAGACATGCCGCACACATCAAAGGCAAATAAGCTTAAAAGACTGGCGTTCGCTAAGGAACATCTGCACAAACCAAAAGAGTTTTGGATAAGCGTTCTAAGGACAGATGAGTGTTGCTTTAAGTATAACTCATCAAAAAACACATTTTTTTTAAGCTAAAGCGAATAAGACGTCCCTTTTTTCAAAAAATGGGCCATGGTGTAGGTTAGGTTATGTTCTGGGGATGTGTTGTATATGGTATAATGGGCTGAATGAGTTGGATTCTATCGCCGGCTCAATGAACCAAGGTCAATATTTGACTATCTTAAACGATTATAAGTTTCCTTCCAGAGATAGGCTTATTGGAGAATCACTTATTCGTTCCTAGTCAGTGCAAAGTGGTAGGCAATACAATGGTAGAT